GGTACAGGGTCTCACTATGCAGCTCAGACTCATAGTGATCCTCCTGTTTTCAGCCTCCCCAGTGCTGGGATTACAGGTGCGCACCAACAGGCCCAGTCTTGGTGGCCAGCTTAGCGCGTCTGGGGATGGGGCTGGTACAACATGCAGGACTGGGGATCAAACTCTGAACCTTGTGCTTGCCAGGCAGGTGCTTAGACTGCTGAGCTATCTCCCCAGCCCTGTTACATAATATTTCATTAGATGATAAGATATTTTCTGTGTTCCATTTTGATGGTAACCCAAATTCACACTCCTTGAGAATCACAGAGGGACCTCAACCCTTCCCCTGCTCGGTGGACTACTGACAGCATAATGACCAGCATGGGTAAGGACTGACAAGAGTGTGTAACCTTGAACTCACTGTGTCTCTTGGAGAACAGTTATGGGGGTTTCCTGAAGGATATTCGTTCCCCAAAACCCATTCCCACATGTCTGGCAGACTATCAAAAAGGCACACAGCAGAACCATGGTGTTCGGTTCTCCTTTTGAACCGCGTGTGCTGAATTGTTGTTTTGTTACAGGATAACATCTGAGGCTACACTGAGACTCTCACGTGGACCGAGCCTGTGAGTTGCACGTATTATGTGTACGTATAGAAACCAGGTTCAGTCTTTTCTAGGGAATGAAGTTATAAATGAATGTGAGTTCATGAACAAGGGAATACAGTTTGAGAAGTTGTGGATCATCCAGTTGGGTTTTCCGGTATAGGGACATACAAAGAAAGCACAGGAATCACAATTGTTTGAACATCATTGATATGCCAACCCTTGGCCAGGCGCTTTACTAACTTTGTATCATTTAATTCTTCACATCGTTCCCATGGGGTGGGTATTGCTGGGCCCATTTTACAGATGAGAAAATTTGGCAGAGAGGTAACCATCGTACACCAGCGACATCAAGATTCAGACTCAGAGGTGTCTGATTCTAATACCTGTGTCCTTTCCAGGACTCTCTGCTGTCACGTTATCTAGGAAGTGCAATTCCTTCTGTTTCTCAGCAGCCCTCAAGATGAAAACCAAGGAGGGCCAGCCTAACTGCTCCCTCCTCCCGGCTGGGTTTGCCTTGAAATTTCTCCTTCACGTGCGAGTCCCTGCTGCCATCTGCTGGAGGCCTCGCTCAGCAGAGGGATTTGCAAATCCCTCGATCTTTGTGAAGGTGAAATCGGTGGGCTTCAAAAAGAGGCAAGAAGCTGACCGTGGCCAACAGGCCAGTCAATGGAGTAAAGCCCTGTGGGAGAAGTAACGCTCCTCCGCATTCCTGGAGGAAGCCTCTCGTCTCCTTTGCAGCCGCTGTCAGTTTTTGCCAGATTTCACTCATCTCCAGGTAATGAGAAAGCCCAGGTTCGGCATCCGGCCACCGACACTTAGATGGTGGTCTCGTGCCAGACTGGGAAGTCCAGTTCGTAACAGTGACCCCCACCTTGACAACCAACAAGCCACAGGCAGCACAGATGCCTGGATGAAGAAGAGTCTCAGCAGCTGGCCAGGCCAGACTCGGCCTCCCTGCAGACAGGAGGGACACCCTGGGGAATCGGGCCACAACACATCCTGGTCCTCACCTGGACACCTGGGGCTGCAGGTGACTCCACAGCCTTTGTTAAAAATGTCTAACACACACACACACACACACACACACACACACACACTGTGTAAAACATAACGGTTTATCATCTAGGGTAGATTTTTAGAAAAACAGATTTCTGTTTCTCTTTCCTGGGCAAAATGGGTGCGTGAGAGAACCCATCCTGGGGGGCAGACAGGGAGCTTATTTCTGACTATTAGAAAAAGAGAAAGCCGGGATTGTTGTCACGACAATTAGGAGCTCATCAAAGCCTCATTTTGCTCATCAGCCATCAGGGCCCTTGGTCCCCCCCACCCCACCCCCATGGTCCTCTAATTCAATGCTTGACTAATGAATAACTCCCTGGAACAAAAGACTTTTTCAGCCGGCTCACAGAATTATTAGAGGAGCCTTGCCTAACTGTCGCAGGCTACTCCTGTTTTCAGGCCTGTCTCTAAATTTGGTTATTCACAACCTTTATAGCTCAATATTATTGCCTAACTGTGATCATTTTCTAATTATCCTAATAATACCTATTAAATAATTCCCATTAAATCATTGGAGCTGGAGCAGCACAAGCCAGCTCAAATACAACTTAACCTAATAAGCATTGGTCATTCATTAAGCAACAGGCCAATCTCTTAAAGGGGCTAGATAGAATATTGGACGCAAAGGAATATTATTATTGCACAAATGTTATTATGGGTTAGAGTGTATTAATTTGGATGGCCTGGCTTGCATAGCTTCCGTTCGGTCTCCTTTGGGGCTGCTCTCTTTGACTTGACTCTATTTGTCTCCAGCCCCTTGTGGATTTGCATCTGTCACCCCCATGAGGACACTCAAGGAGAAAAGAGGCCCATAAACTTAACAGCGGAATTAAATTACCAATGATATAAAGGGAATGAATAGAATCCATCTTCTGGCTAGTTTGGCACACCTCTGAATACCCTACCAGCTGGCCAGATTTCCTTAGGTATCAAAATAGCTTATTCTTTCCTTCCTTCCTTCCTTCCTTCCTTCCTTCCTTCCTTCCTTCCTTCCTTCCTTCCTTCCTTCCTTTGGAGATGAGGGAGATTTTCAGAAGCTTTATAAATGGCACCTATAATTTAAATTTCAAGCAATAACAATTAGATAATTCTTTAAAAGCGTATGTGTGTGGATCCTTAATATTTTGTAAGGTAAGCGTGGGTGGCATTCTTCGAGGGTCTACAACATAGTAGACATTGGTATTTTTTTTCGCGGAACCGGGGATTGAACTCAGACCCTTGCGCTTGCCAGGAAAGCACTTATTCCACTGAGCCATCTCCCCGGCCCCTAGACACTGGTATTTTGCCCAACAACACCCCAGTCCTCCAAATGGTGTCATATAGAATGTGGAGATTATTATGACTTCTTAGGCCAGAGCAGTTAGGTCGCTCCCCCGGGACAACTGGCCTCCATGGGAAGGCACAGAATTTGAGCACACGGCTCTTTGATGCCTACAGTTCGCTTTCCCTACCATGTCAAGCGTCAGCATGTGTCGTTGACAGCCAAGTGAAACATGCCCCAGATTCCCTCTATGTCCTTTTCATTCCTGAGGCTCCCTCCAGATTCCTCAAGCCAAGCAGCAGAACCTCCTTGATTAGGAGTACTGCCATACACCAAACCAGGGCAGCTCAGCCCACCAGAAAGTCCCAAGAGCAGCTATCCAGGCGGCTCAGTGACTCAGTTCAAGCAGCAAGACACACTCTTTGTTTTTATAAAGAAGGCTAACTCAGATGGACAAATGTGGGTTTTCTTTACAAGGAAGTCCACAGAGTAATTTAGTAAGAGAAGGAACAAACGCTGGCTAATCATTTACCATGGGCTAGGTCCCGGGTGAGCTTGTAGGTAAATGTTTTCACTAATCTTTACTACAAATGCAAGGAACAGGAATGACCATCCCTCTGGCCTCACAAGCAAGAAACGGAGGCCCAGAGGGGCAAAGTCTGCCTCCCAACATTTCCCTGCTAGTTGCTGGCAAGGGAAACATGTCGCTATCGTAGCTACCGACTCTGTCTTTGGGGGCCATTTGGGAGGTTCTAGAAATAACTCTCCCACCTCTACGAGTCTCGAGCTTCAGGCCTGGGAGGGTCTGGATCTGCCTTGCTACTGTCATCATGCTCAGGTAATTTGCATTTTGAACAGAGTGGAGAGGCTTTCCCTCTACTAGAGGGTTCACCCGGTCACACTATGCACCCAGGGACATGCATTTTCAGCGTTCCATTGTTCACGTTTAGAGACCCCTGTTCAGAGACCAAGGGCTATACGGCAAAAAACCAGAAACAGCCCCCCGCAGCACACTCCAAGTGCCCCTCCCGTGCCTCAGCCATGGGGCTGCTGGGAAAGTGTCCGGAAAACATAGATGTCCTTGTCACTCTGTACCTGAGGACTCCTTGCTGGCTCCTCTTGTTAAAGTGTCTTCCGTCCTGGCCTTGGCGGCGCTGCCCCCCTCTCTGTGGACCCCCTTCTCCTGCTGCGCATTTTCCACTTCCCCTCCCAGATCCCCTCCCACGACCAGGGCCTCAGGTCCTGGGTCTGTTTTCATTGCTTTGTCCCGCTACATTGAGGCTGATCTGTTTGCATGTCTGAATCCTGAGTACACTATAAACTTCTCAAGGCAGAAACTACCACACAGACTGTGCTGGACATCTAGCACATGGAGAGTTGTCTCCAGAGGAGCACTGTGTTTGAACAGAGGAATCTGAAGCCCTCAGTGAGATGGTTACCATCCGCTGCTCTGCCTTGGGCCATGTGCTAATTAAATTAAGCACTGTGGTGGAATTTCTTCTTTAACCTTTTTTGAGACAGGACCTCACTGTGTAGCTCAGGCTGGCCTTGAACTCATGGAGATCCTCCTGCCTCAGCCTTCTGAGTGCTGGAATTACAGGTGTGCACCACCATGCCCTGCAAATCTTCATTTCTTATTTGTGATGTAGGAAACCAGGACTGTTCCCATTTTAGATGAGAAGATGAAAGTTTATGAAGCGAGTGGCTCAAGGCTTAGAAAGAAAAAGGAGAGACCAGGACTTTAACTCTGGGCCTTGAGTCACCAGCATTGCCTGAATCCTCCATGATTTCTCCTGAATTTACCCTAAATCCTACATTGCAAAGAACATTCATTTGAGTCAGCAGAGCTGGGTCTACCAGAAGTCTATTTACAAGCCCAAGGCTGATCATGGCCAGGAGGAATCTCAAATGGCAATATCAGTTTGGCTTTTAAAGAGTGAAGCAGCACAGACTTAGCGCCACCAGTCCATGGTGACAAACCCCAAGTGGATGATGGGTTTCCCTTGTGTGGCCCATACTAAGACGAGCACTATTCTCAGATGAAGGACTAGACCCACGCCTGCAGCACAGAGCTGCTCAGATGGCCACTGTACCTGCTTCTCCTCGCAAGGCCTTCTCCAGTCTCACGCCCTGGACCTCGGATGCCCTCTGCCGCTCTTCCACTTCCTCCAGCTGCCTCTGGATGGCCTGAAATGCCAGGATCACATGTCACAGGGGGCCTTGGACACAGAGTCAGGTAAGGAAAGTGATTCTGTTGCTGATTCTCCAGGAGAAAGAGTGATGTTGCTGCCCTGGTAAACTGGGCATGGACCTCTGAGCACCCCAAAGGCCACACCAAGATGCCTCCCTCTCTACTAAGTATCATGAAGCATGGAGGCAGCACGTAAGTTTAAGCTCCATCTGCCCCCAAGTAGACATTAAGACATTTTCCTGTGACACGGCCAGTCATACCAGACATTCATTTACTTTCAAAGATAGGAGCTGGGTGGTGCTTGTGGTACTGGGACTCTTCAGAGTCTACAGCCTCTGACCATGGTCATGACAAATGACCAGGCTGCAGCTACCATGCAGAGTAAGGAGTAGGGCTAAGACAAACATAGTGTCCGCTCACATTCTATGTCCCAGGAAGAACAAGACTGTTTCCTGACAAGGTGGCCTGGACAGGAGACCTGGGCCAGCTCTTGGGGCTTGGTGTTGTGGGTTGTCCTGCTCCTGTCCTTAGCTATGAACGGCACTTGCTCTTTCTTGCTCTACAGCCTGATGCCACAGTGGTACTGCCACAGACGCGCACCGTGGCTTTGTTACCAACAAGTTGTGAAGACGGGACACAAGCTATTGAGCCCCTTCAGGAGAATCTCATACACTTTACATTCTCCATGAACATCTAGGAAAGGTTGGGACCATGGTGAGGTTCAGGTCTGCATTTGTTCATTTACTTTTCTCACTAGGTAACCCTGTTGGGTCTATGAGGCACCAGCTGGGGGCGGCTGTAAGTTCTGTTTCTCCCCATCAACGAGCTCTGCTTTCTCATGCCACGCTGCCCAAGGGCGCATTCCTTGGCAGAACAGCCTTTGCACCTGGCAGAACAGGTAGATTAAAGGCAGGGGGAGCGCCTGTGTGCCACCTTCATGTACTCTGACCCTCTTGCTCCCCTTCCTTTTCAGCCCCACATCCTCCTAAATCTCCCCTGGAGTCCTGGGTGCAGGAGCTGAGCTACCTCTGGCCCTAAGAGGACATCTAACCAGGATGGCGTCCTAGCAGCCACCTGATTCTTATTTTCCCAGCTATGAGCATAGAAACCCCAAACTCAAAATGTAAAGTATAGGGGGATGCTACTGTGCTCCTTTCCTGTCTCTCTTTTAAAGACAATTCTATCTTTATAAATCCATCTCTTGGTGGTATGGTATAGAATTGCTAAAGAATAGAGACATTTCAATGACCTTACTAATAATAACTTGTTATTATCCAGTTATAGCTACCTGGTTGCTCTATACTCCTGCAAAATTCATAGGTTCAGACCCTAACTCCCAGTGTGACTGTGTGTGGAGACAGGCCTCGCAGGGAGGTATTAAAGGTTAAGTGAGGTCATAAGGGTGTGGCCTTCATCTGATAAAATCTGTCCTTGTAAGAAGAGGAAGAGACACACTAGCCTTTGCTTTTGCTCTGAAAAAGACCATGTGAGGACACGGGGGAAGGGGTGGGGAAGCACCTGTCTCCAAGCCAGGGTAGAGTCCTCACCAGACAGCACCTTGAGCTCGGACTTTATGTCTCTAAAACGGTGAAGAAATAAATGCTTGTTGTATAAGCCAGTCCATCAGTGGCATTTGCTGTGGCCACCCAAGCAGGCTGACCCAGTGGCCATGCTTTATGAGCTAAGAACTAAGAGACCAAGAAGGGTGGCCCCAGGTGCTGGCGGGCTAGGACACAAAAAGCCACTGCAAGTCTGCTCTCATTGCCCTTGAATTGGCCAAGTTTGCCAATCGGTAGCATAAATAAAGACTTGTTTTGTTCTTAGAGGTAAACACTGAAACACTCCAAGGCAGCCTGTCTTAGAAGCTGAGACAGAAGAGAGCTCGTAGGAGTTGTCTCTGTCCATGAGTGCAGGTGGCTCCTGAGTCAGCAACCAGGAAGGGTACAGGGGACTGGATTCAGACACTTCCTTCTTGGTACGAACAACTCACACCATGGTATAGTGTGGGTCTGGAATGCCCCCACAGTCCCAGGGTCACAGGCCTGATCTCAGCTGATGGTCCTCTGCAGAGAAACCTTAAGATGTAGCCCGCTAGAACTCAGGTCACTGGAGCTGTGCTTTTGGAGTAGACTCTGTATTGAGGCCCCAGTGTCTCCTCTTTATCCCTCTTCGCTCCCTGGCCACCAGAAGGTGAGCAAGGTGCTTAAGCTTGGGCGCTTCGCCATGATGTGCTGCCCCCGGCCGGCCTGGAGTAACAGGGCTGACTGATCACAAACTGGAACCTTGATGCTGTGAGACCAAATAAGGCTTTCATCTGTTTAACTTGATTATCTCAGGTGTTCTGTTACAGTACTAGGCAGGTGACCAACACCCAGGATTCCATGGGCAGACAAATGGCATAACTGGAGAGAGTGATGGAAGGGTAAATGGATTAAGTGGTCATTCCATGTCCTATTGTACAGAAATCCAAGGCTTGCTTGGGATCATCAGGTAGACAGGGACTGTCCAGACCTTCTGTTTTGGCTTTTCCTATCTCTGATAGAGCTGAGCAGAACACCTCAGGCAGAAATGACTGGAGTAAACTGCTAGGTCATGAAATCTCTGCTAGAGGCTGGATACTTAAGTCTTCAGCTAATCCTTCCATGCAGACAGCCCCTCATAGCTGTCAGCTTAACAAAGACCCAGTCGGAGGTTGGTGGAAGAATTGTGCCCTCAGAGAAGATGAAATGAAGGTAATCATTAAATGCCAGTGGGGTCTAGCAAGCCCCCAGGCCATGAGCTGGCTCTTGTTTCAGCCTTGCTTTTCAGGACCCTGACTGTGCAAGGAAAGGTGGCTGGGCGTGGTCTAGGTGGTGGCTGGGTGTGGTCTAGGTGGCTGGGCGTGGCCTAGGAGGTGGCTGGGCGTGGCCTAGGAGGTGGCTGGGCGTGGTCTAGGAGGTGGCTGGGCGTGGCCTAGGAGGTGGCTGGGTGTGGCCTAGGAGGTGGCTGGGCGTGGTCCAGGAGGTGGCTGGGCGTGGTCTAGCTCAGGACCTGGGCTCCCTGGTCCTAGAGCTCCACTAGGGATGGGGCTGGAGCCTTTAGGAGGACCACAGACCTGGAGAAGAGAGGCTGCCTTTCCCCAGCCTGCCTTCACCCCAAGCCAGTGCAGATGCTCAAAGGGCTTTCCCATCTCGATTCCGGGGACCCCGGCCTCAGGCCCATTCACTCATGTCAGGTTGGTTTTCTGACCTGAGCTTTATGAAGTCTTTTCAATTCTTCTTGCTTGACCAACTGCTTTGTTGCTTTTTCCAGCTTCCTTCTTTTTTTGAGTGTCTTCTTCTCCTATGGAAACCAATAGAGAAGAAAAAACAGGACTGAGAAAAATGGGATTGAAATTCACAAAACAGCACCACCTTTCCCATGGTTCTTCATTTCTTTATTTTTGGCAGTACTAGGGATCGAATGCAGGACCTTGCACTTGCCAGGCAGACGCTTACGCCACTGAGCTATATCCCCAGCTTTCCCATGGCTCTTAACCATTGCTTCACTGCTGGAATAATAAGGTCCGTAAGATTTTTTGCAGTGACACAAGTGACCTATATCTATGCTGCATAAAATACAGATGCCACTAGCCTATTTGGTACTGGAAATAAAGGGTAGAAAAGAAATAACATTTTATTTTAATGTAAATATGAATTTAAGTAGCAATATATAGCTATTAGGTTTGCTAATATATAACTATTAGGAGGGGTGTGTTGTGTGTGTGTGTATTCAAGTAGGAGTAGCTTCACTGAGTACTGACTGGGTACAGGAATAATATAAATAATATAAGAATTATGCTTTACATGTCTGCTGCCCTACTGCTCAGGCATGATGAACCTGGGATAGAGAGGCAGGCAAACACAGGGACACAGGCAGGGGCCGGGCAGGCAGGCAGGCAGGCAGGCAGATACACACACACACACACACACACACACAC